CCACGCCCAGTCAGCCACTGGGAAAGGAGACTCCCGCCCAGTCGCCCAGTCACAGCCACTGGGAAAGGAGACTCCCTGGCCCACGCCCAGTCAGCCACTGGGAAAGGAGACTCCCTGGGCCACGCCCAGTCACAGCCACTGGGAAAGGAGACTCCCTGGCCCACGCCCAGTCAGCCACTGGGAAAGGAGACTCCCTGGGCCACGCCCAGTCATAGCCACTGGGAAAGGAGATTCCCTGGGCCACACCCAGGCCCAGCCACGGGTAAAGGGACCTCCCTGGGCCACACCCAGGCCCAGCCACGGGCAAAGGGACCTCCCTGGGCCATGCTCAGTCCCAGCCATGGGGAAAGGAGACTCCGTGGGCCACACCTAGGCCCCGCCACGGGCAAAGGACACCCCTTGGGTCACACACAGGCCTAGCCATGGGAAAAGGGGACTTTCTGGGCCTTGCTCAGTCCCAGTCATGGGCAAAGGAGTCTCCTTGCGCTATTTCTCCCCACGTCATGCTGTGCCCAGTCTGAGCCATGGGCAAAGCCACTGGGAAAGGAGTCTCCCAGGGCCAGTCCCAGCCGTGGGGAAAGGAGACTCCCAGGGCTGCGTTCATTCTAAGCCAGGAAAAGAGGCATGGAGCATGATGTGACGTCCATTCTTAGGGAAGAACTAAATCTTGAAACTACAGAAATGTGAGTAGAACAGGGAATGGCTAGTAAGATGCAATAAGGTTATTTTCTTTATTTTGCGGTTTGCTGGGCTTCTCTGTGTTAAGCCCATGTACTTTCTCCCCAGCCCCGTACACTGTAACTTTTAAACGGAATCCCAGGGAAGCAATTCTCTGGGTCTTTAATCTTTCTTTTTTCAGTTGCTCCATAACATCTAGCAACCAAATAATGTTTCACCAAGTATGTTTTCTTTGGCTTGTCAACCAAATCACCTTTTTAAGACCATAATCTGATTCCGGTGGGCTAGAAGGCAGGAGGTTCTGTGTGCATGTGCCTAAGACTGCACAGGCAGCTATTAAGAAAAAAACACAGGGTTCTTCCAAGCTCTCTCCAGAGGGAGGGTTAAAGAGCTTGGGGTACCCCACAGGAAGGAACTCCCAAACATGTCTTCCTGGGCTCTCAGGGGTGTTTGCATTTGGGGGGTGGCAGCAATGCCCATCCAAGTTCACAGAATCTGGACCTGGGGGAGTTTTTATACAGAAGCCTTTAGTGGCAGGGTATTTTGTGAGCCTCCGTCTTCTGCACTCGCAGTGCCAGAGTGGGAACAGGGCCTATGCTGATCTACATCAGTGGCGGAGCTGGCTCTACATCCCCACGTCAGACAGTTCCTGCCTCTTACTCCTGACAATCCCACTTCTGCAGGGGCAGAGGGCACAGTTGGTTACCTACCTTTGCTGTTGATCATGACCTTGCAGAGGTCAGATGGAGGGCCCAGGCGGGTGCAGTGATAGACAAACACTTCCAGGCCATACTCCTTGTTGAACTCCAGGTAAGGGATGCGGGCAGAGTGCACAGACATGGAGGTAATATTAACCTCCTGTACAAGCACTTTTGCTGAGTCCCAGAGACGTACAATGAATCCGTTTGCTGGCTCATAGTTATTTGGCACATTCCAGTTAACATGAAGTGTGTTCTTTCCTTCCACAGACCAGCCGTCGATCACCGGCTTGGCTGTGGGTTCTATGAGACACACAAGGCGGGTGAGGTAATATCTTCATTAGACCAGCATTTGTGAAAACCAGACAGTAAATACCCCTCCTCCCAAAGGAATGCATGGAGCCTCATGCGTCTGCTCTAGGCTCCAGGGCCTACTCTTGTATAACCCAGAGATCACTGACAAGGGAGAGTGTTGTCTGCTCTACAGCTTTAGCTGAGCACCTGCTGTCTTTCAGTTCATGCAGTCACGGCACATGGCTTTAGCCTCTAAGGTCATGCCCTCCTGCCAGCGACCACATCGGCTTCACACTTGTATCAAGACCCGATCCTGAGGGAGCAGGCCTACTGCCAAGGGAGGACAAAACGGACAACTGCTGTGGGGCCTGGCGATTCAAAGGGGCCTGGGGCTCACTGCTGGTGCCTCAGCAATGGCCCGAGCACTGGGCCCTTTAAATCCCCACTAGAGCACCGTGCTGCACTCTGGGAGGCTCTGGGGGCCTGCCACGGTCCAGGCGGTGCTGAGGGCTACCTGCCCCTGCCGGGAGCATGGAGCTGGACTCCCTCACCTTGCCCAGGGGCCTCAGAGGTTGTTGGCTCCTCTGGGAGGGGAGGAGCTGTCCAATAAATCCAGAGTGGGCTCAGCATGAGCAGCTGGAACAGAGCGATTCCAAGAAATTCCAAGAACTTTGGGCCTGGGCTTGGACGGAGTGGGCTGGACCCAGTTATGTCCCATTGCACTGACTCCGGGTCTGGGGAATTAGCTGAGCTCACGGGACAAATGGCTTGTTATGAATTAAGCCACATGTGTGTAGAGGCCAAGACAGCAGGTCCCGATCCCTGACTAGAAGCCCTAGGTGCAAGTGCTGGATCAGCAGCCAATGGATGAATTCAGCCAGCTCCAGTCCTGGTGACCCAGGCACATGCCCTCTGTAGGATTTCATGTGGGGGATCCCTATCCTGAGCCCCGTCCCTGGCCAGCTCTCACCTTGACACTCTGTCACCATGATCGCCTGCGGTCCCGCCACACCTTCCCCCTTGTCACCTGGGCGTGCCAGCTGCACCATGACCAGGTAGGCAGTGACTGGCCGTAGGTTCATGAGTGTGATGTTCTCACTGTTGTCAACTGTGAATTACAGAGGGTCCTGTTACACCAGAGCCATGTGACCAGCGACCTTTTCTAGCCTGCGACGGTGACTTGTGGAGCAAAGGGCTTGTTGGGAATTAAACCACAGGTGTGCTGAGCCTTAGACAATAGGGGTCGATCCCTGAGCCCAACACAGATGGAGCACTGGCAAGAGGACATCCCCAGCTGGCCTGCTGCCTCCTTCCCTCTTGAAAGTTCATGGGGCCCAGGAGTAAGCAATGCACAACACAGACCTGCTGGATCTCAGCATCCCTGCTCTATCCCATCGCTGTCTGCTGCTCAGCCTGCCCCTTCTGCTTCTCCAGTGAGACCATCCCATGGAGATGCAGGGTTCCCCTAGGTGTTACGAGACCACAATATTTGGCGAAGCAGTGATCTCCTCCCTGCATTTGCTATTGCTCCTATCTTTGTGTCATGCTCAAATCTGGTTGCGATTGACTTTACAAGGACACTCATAGAATCCTAGGGCTGGCAGAGACCTCAGGAGTCATCGCGTCCAGCCCCCTGCTCCAGGCAGGACCAACCCAACTCAATCAACCCAGCCAGGGATTTGTCGAGTCAGGACTTGAAAACCTCTCAGGATGGAGATTCCACCCCCTCCCTAGAGAACCATTCCAGGGCTTCTCCACCCGCCTAGGGAAACAGTTTTTCCTAATCTCCAACCTAGACCTCCCTCACTGCAACTTGAGCCCATTGCTCCTTGTTCTGCCATCTGCCACCACAGAGAACAGCCTCTCCCCATCCTCTTTGAAACCCCCCTTCAGGAAGTTGAAGGCTGCTCTCAAATCCCCCCTCACTCTGCTCTTCTGCAAACTGAACAAGCCCAAATCCCTCAGCCTCTCCTCGTAGGTCATGTGCTCCAGCCCCCCGCTCGACCCTCTCCAATGAATCCACATCCTTTTTGTAGTGGGGTCCCAGAACTGGACACAATATTCCAGGTGTGGCCTCACCAAAGCCGAATAAAGGGGAATAATCACTTCTCTGGATCTGCTGGCAATGCTCCCTAATATGCCATGAGCCTTCTTGGCTACAAGGGCGCCCTGGTGACTCCTATCCAGCCTCTCATCAACTGTAACCCCCAGGTCATTTTCAGCAGCACTGCTATTTAGCCAGCTGGTCCCCAGCGCTGAGCCAGTCGGTTCCCGGTGCTGAGCCAGTCGGTTCCCAGCAGTTAGCCAGTCGGTTCCCGGAGTTGAGCCAGTCGGTTCCCGGGGTTGAGCCAGTCGCTCCCCGGCGCTCAGCCGGTCGGTTCCCAGCGCTTCCAGCGCTGAGCCAGTCGGTTCCAAGCGCTCAGCCAGTCGGTTCCCAGCGCTGAGCCAGTCGGTTCCCAGCGCTCAGCCAGTCGGTTCCCAGCGCTGAGCCAGTCGGTTCCCAGCGCTCAGCCAGTCGGTTCCCAGCGCTGAGCCAGTCGGTTCCCAGCGCTCAGCCAGTCGGTTCCCAGCGCTGAGCCAGTTGGTTCCCAGCGCTCAGCCAGTCGGTTCCCAGTGCTCAGCCAGTCGGTTCCCAGCGCTGAGCCAGTCGGTTCCCAGCGCTCAGCCAGTCGGTTCCCAGCGCTGAGCCAGTCGGTTCCCAGCGCTCAGCCAGTCGGTTCCCAGCGCTGAGCCAGTCGGTTCCCAGCGCTCAGCCAGTCGGTTCCCAGCGCTGAGCCAGTCGGTTCCCAGCGCTCAGCCAGTCGGTTCCCAGCGCTGAGCCAGTTGGTTCCCAGCGCTCAGCCAGTCGGTTCCCAGTGCTCAGCCAGTCGGTTCCCAGCGCTGAGCCAGTCGGTTCCCAGCGCTCAGCCAGTCGGTTCCCAGCGCTGAGCCAGTCGGTTCCCAGCGCTCAGCCAGTCGGTTCCCAGCGCTGAGCCAGTCGGTTCCCAGCGCTCAGCCAGTCGGTTCCCAGCGCTGAGCCAGTCGGTTCCCAGCGCTCAGCCAGTCGGTTCCCAGCGCTGAGCCAGTTGGTTCCCAGCGCTCAGCCAGTCGGTTCCCAGTGCTCAGCCAGTCGGTTCCCAGCGCTGAGCCAGTCGGTTCCCAGCGCTCAGCCAGTCGGTTCCCAGCGCTGAGCCAGTCGGTTCCCAGCGCTCAGCCAGTCGGTTCCCAGCGCTGAGCCAGTCGGTTCCCAGCGCTCAGCCAGTCGGTTCCCAGCGCTGAGCCAGTCGGTTCCCAGCGCTCAGCCAGTCGGTTCCCAGCGCTGAGCCAGTTGGTTCCCAGCGCTCAGCCAGTCGGTTCCCAGTGCTCAGCCAGTCGGTTCCCAGCGTTGAGCCAGTCGGTTCCCAGCGCTTAACCGGGTGTGTGTTTGTGTGGTGGGGAGTTATTTGCTGTGTGCTGAGCTTGTGTTTGTCTGTTTGTTTGGTTTGTTTGTTTGTTTGTTTGAAGGAGCTTCTAAATGGTTTGAAATCTAGAAGTCTCTGTTAAGTGGCTGAGCCTCAGTCAGGGGGAGGGGCTACCAGAGCTACATAAGCCTATGACTCCACGACCAGTGAGCTTGCGAACATGAACAGCTAACAGGGAGTTTAGAGGGGGAGGTTAGAGGGCACTAGTGACTTGTGTCCTTCTTTAAAACCTAACTCTTAGAATAATCTATACTCCAGAAGTTTAAAAAGAATCCCAGTTTATAATTAAACTTATTCATTAGAAAAATGGAGACAGAAGCCCAGCAGCAGAGTGGGGGCTATCCTGTTTATTGCGTCGAGTGTAACATGTACGATTACCTGCCCTGTGGGCGGGTGGTGTATGTGTGCACCCGTTGCAAGGAGCTCCTGACCCTCAGAGACCGAGTTTGGGGTTTGGAGGCCAGGGTGGCTGAACTGGAGGAGCTAAGGGAGGTAGAGAGCTATATTGATGAGACTTTCCGGGACACTGTAGTACTGTCCCACCTCCAGTCTGAGAACCCCAGTGCTCTTAAGGAGTATGAAAGTCTCAAGGGAACAGAGCATTCAATGGGAGCAGAGGGAAACCATCCCATAGTTGGGACCCTCCTCCCAGAGGATGTTGCGGTATCCTCTCGCACTGAGGATACCTCTGAGGGGGAGGGAATGCCAGTTAGGAAGAGGCAGGTGTTAGTAGTGGGTGATTTGATCGTTAGAAACATAGGGTATGTCTACACTACCCTCCTAGTTCGAACTAGGAGGGTAATGTAGGCATACTGCACTTGCAAATGAAGCCCGGGATTTGAATTTCCCGGGCTTCATTTGCATAAGCGGGGAGCCGCCATTTTTAAATCCCGGCTAGTTCGAACCCCGTGCTGCGCGGCTACAC